AAATGTTAATTAATTAATTAAATTAAAAAATGAATAAATAGTAACAAACAAAAATACTAGCCCAACAGCTTATATAGAAAGGAAACTCGTTCGTTGTGTTCCTGTAACGCAATGGATTGCTTTTTGGACTTCTAATCCAAAGGGCGTGGGTTCGAATCCCACCTGGGTTGGCCTAATTTTTGAGAATGTAATTTCATTTTACTATACTTTTTATTAGAATGATTAAATTTGATTGTGTCATATGCATATACATATTTATATTAGTTGAAATTATATAACAAAAAGTAACTAAAATAAAATTTTTCTTTGTTGACCTAAGTAGGAATTGACTTAAAAGTTTTTTTTTATATAACTTGTTAGCTCTATCATATTACCTCGTTCAAACTCAGAGAGCTGTTGATTATGGCTCTTTTTAGCCTTCATAAATCATTCTACACTAACATCAATTCACTGCGTCAAATGTCAAGGATAAATAACACTCACCAACTTTATGTATATAAAGTATACTTGATTCGCATTCTCAAACTGGCGTAACTAACACCTCACTTACGCACCTAACGCGACATTTTAATAAAAGTCATCTTTAAGCTGTATAAACACACCTACCAAATATTTCGTTGATATAGCGCAACTCCTTCTTGTTGATGGGATTTTTATTTCCATCAGTGTATTTTTCTGATGAAAATAAATGAAACATAATGAAATTATGTCATCAAAGATATGTCGAATTCAAAGCAAATTCTTTCAAGTTAAGTGAAATTTGGCCTTAAGGTATCCGACTACGTTCGGAACCGTGATTTTGCAAAAGCGCGTGAATGGATAATATTTATGATATTTAGTGTCACTTAGATTAGAATATATGCATACAATTGTTTAAAAGATATTATATGACAAAAAAAAAATTTAAATACAATATTTTGGCAAAAAATTAACTTAGAATAACTTTTTTTCCAAATGTTCTCCTTTTGTAAAAAATACTTCTATTGTATTAATATTTTGCCTGTATTCAGCGCAGACCTCTGTACAGAGGCTCAACTAGAATTTTTGAAAAGCATAACTCGGAAGTCAGTTTATCCATGTTTTACGAAAACAGAAGGGAGAAATTTTAAGCAAATACGCCGATAATTATTTCAAATGGTTGTAACTCTGACAATATTTTGAATTTTTCAAAAATCATTGTTGAGCCTCTGTACAGAGGTCTGAGCTATATACAGGCAAAATATTAATACAATAGAAGCATTTTTTACAAAAGGAGAACATTTGGAAAAAAGGTTATTCTTTTGCCAAAATATTGCATTTAAATAATTTTTTTTGTCATAATGTCCTTAAAACAATTGTATACATATATTCTAATCTAAGTGACACTAAATATCATGAAAATTATCCATTTATGCGCTTTTTTAAAATCTTGGTTCCAAACGTAGTCGGACACCTTAATAGAAAGATAAAGATTAATAAAAGTGGTCCTGGCTGAAATCCGTGACACGAATGAGGAAAAAAAACTACAATACTGGAGGCAACTTTCGTTTTGAAACAAATGGACAAATACGAAACTTTCCTTATGGGAATACCATACTCCCGGAGAATAAATACTACTAGACAAATTAATGCAACAAGTTGAGTAAGAATTATTAAAAGGTTCTAGTCAACTAAAATCTCTAGAAAATTACATCCAAAATTTCAGAAATGAATTTTTGAAAAATGGAATACGGAGTAACTGATTTATCGGGACTCTCGTTTGAAGAGGAATCAGGACAAGCTCACAGGCTGCAAATAAAAACAATTATTTTCCATGAAAGTAAAATCGGTGATGAATTTTTGAAAAAAAGGGGAAAAATTTCATAGTGAATTCATTTTATGTCATTTGCGATAGGGCAAGAATAGAGCTGTCCCCCGGACAGCTGAGATACATAAACTGAGAGATGAGAGATTATTACCTGAAATTATAAGAAGAAAGTTACACAAAAACTAAAAAAAAGAAAATTTACATAAGCGATATTGAATCTTTTAATTATGGGATCAGTTTTTAATGTTTTTAAAAGAAAAAAAAGATAAAAGGAAGACTGCATTGGAAATGTATCGAGTTGCCGCAGACATACTAATACAGAGACCCTTTTGAAAATATTTTTAACCTTGCCGATATCGAACGCATGCGGTGAGAGATCTTTTTCAGTTTTAAAGCGTTTTAAAAATTATTTAAGAAATACTTTGGGAGAGAAGAAAAATTGAACAACATGGCTATATTACATATAGAACAAGATATTTTGGGAGAAAATGGTGACAGCAAAATAATTGATAGTTTCGTCAAAGAGAAATCCAGAAGTAAAGTTGTGTGTATAGCAGAATTTTAAGCTCTTTTGATTAATTTTTTTAAGGTATGCGACTACGTTCGCGGAACCATGTTTTAAAAAAGCGCATAAATGGATAATTTTCATGATATTTAGTTTCACTTGGATTAGAATACATGTATAAAATTGTTTTAAGGACATTATGACAAAAACAAGTTATTTAAATACAATATTTTGGCAAAAAATTAACTTAGAATAATCTTTTTTCCAAATGTTCTCCTTTTGTAAAAAAGGCTTCTATTGTATTAATATTTTGCCTGCATATAGCTCAGACCTCTGTACAGAGGCTCAACTATGATTTTTGAAAAATTCACATTATTTTCAGTTACAACCATTTGAAATAATTATCGGCGTATTTTCTTAAAATTTCTCCCTTCTGTTTTCGTATATCATGGATAAACCAACTTCCGAGTTATGCATTTCAAAAATTCTAGTTGAGCCTCTGTAGAGAGGTCTGAGCTGAATACAGGCAAAATATTAATGCAAAAGAAACTTTTTTTTTACAAAAGGAGAACATTTGGAAAAAAGGTTATTCTAAGTTAATTTTTTACCAAAATATTGTATTTAAATAATATTTTTTTGTCATAATGTCCTTAAAACAATTGTATACATGTATTCTAATCTAAGTGACACTAAATATCATAAATATTATCCATTTACGCGCTTTTGCAAAATCACGGTTCCGAACGTAGTCGGATACCTTAAGGAGTTAATACTAAGATCACACAATTACACTTTATATCATGGCTGAGCAACTAGTGGCCAACAAAGAGTTTTTTTACGGCACCTTAAGACAGTTAGAAAATCAAATACATAGATGTTCTATATATATGAGCCAACATATATTTTTAAGCAGAATTTATAGTTATAAAATGGTGAAAAACGTTATGCCGAAGTAATCGCATTGTATCGTAAAATTATAATAAACTATTATAAAATATTATATGTTTGTTTATCAAGTTACCATCCTTACAGCTGATCATCTCTAAGCATATATTTTGCACTGCAGACTTAAAAAGAAATTAAAAAGTGTAAGATACTGCAAGTTTTTTTTAATGCAGCTACGTTAAGGTATCCGACTACGTTCGGAACCGTGATTTTCAAAAAGCAGATAAATAGATAATTTTCATGATATTTAGTGTCACTCATTAGAATACATGCATAAAATTGTTTTAAGGACATTTTGACAAAAACAATTATTTAAATACAATATTTTGGCAAAAAATGAACTTAGAATAATCTTTTTTCAAAATGCTCTCCTTTTGTGAAAAAGGCTACTATTATAATAATATTTTGCCTATATATAGCTCAGACCTCTCTACAGAGGCTCAACTAGAATGTTTGAAAAATTCACATTATTTTCAGAGTTACCACCCATTGAAATAATTATTGGCGTTTTTTTCTTAAAATTGCTCACC